AAAAAAAAAAAAAAAAAATAGCATACCTCTCGACAATGTTGAAATAAAACATTAATTTGTATTTAGTCAGTACTAACAATAATAAACATCACTTAGTCTATATTTACAAGTGAAAATCAGCACTGCAAAATTCATTTTCGAGTTTCATAGAATTAAAGTTTAAGAAATTTTGAAGTAAAAAATTAAAGAATCTTATTTTTTCTATACTCCAAATTTTTTCCTTTATTATTTTGTTTGTCTTCATTTTCACACTAATTATAATAAAAAAAATAAAACCATGAATTTTTATAGGGTATGATGCTATCGTAAAATTAAATTACCCGTAAAAGTATTATACTTAAGTATACCCTTACTACCCTTAGGCCTTAGGTCTTAGGTAAGTATAGGTATTATACTTTGAGTGTGACAGCAGGTGACAGGAACAGGACTGCATGACAGGTGAAAGTGAAATTTACAATTGTATGATGCATGAGTAAAAGTAAAGTACTTATGAGTATTGAAAGTTGAAAGTGGCTTAAAATTTAAAATTTGTGAAGGAAAATGAAAACAAATGTGTGAATAACGTCGAAATACGCGACAACAATCAAACTCGTCTATCAGTATTGACAATAAATAGTTGTTATTCCAAATTCAGTTGAATTGTTGGGGAGGATTTCTTATTTTTTTCGTTGGTTGACTTGTGCTTTTAGTTTTAAGGAATATCGCTGACAAAAAACGATGGGATTAGATGACACATTTAGTTATATTCTTTTTACAAATCCATTAAGTGCTAACACTATCAATGTTGCTAAAGCAGCTGCTGGCGGCGTAAGTGTGCAAGCATTTTTATCATAACCTCTTTATTTTGTTTGGTAATTGTCATTATTTGTGTAATTTATATTCTCAGTAGTCTCAGTCTCAGCGTGTGCACTTTTATTAGTAGTTGATTGATTTAGTTCTTACCGATTAATTGATTTTTAGTGTAAACAGTTTACGGTTATTCAATATTTTATAACCTGTATCTTGATTAGTTTAGTGTAAATAACAGTGCTATTAACATCTCAGGTATCTAGCTATCTGGGCTTAGGTCCTAATAAAGTTGAAGTAGTTAAAATGGTTCCACCAGAACCACTATGGAAGTTAGCATTACAAACTGGACCATTTGTCAGAATAGCTGCCATTAGTGGAGCTGCTGCTGTGATTTTAGGAGCTTATGGATCACACAGTTAGTATTAATTAGTTTATACGTAAAATTTAATCTACTCTTTTTTTAACCGTTTATTTAAATTTCGCAGAGGCCTATCCAGATGACAAAGGTCAAGAACAGAGGAGGGTCTTCGATGTAGCCTCACGATATCACTTTGTTCATACATTAGCTTTGCTTGGATCACCATTGTGCAGAATGCCCTATTTAGTAAGTTTTTTATGTTAGAAACTTAAAAAATATTAGATCTATAAGGTATATATATATATATATATATATATATCAGGAGTGTATAAAATATTTAATTTCAGACTAGTAGCTTTCTGATCGCTGGAATACTTCTCTTCTCTGGTACCTGCTACTATTATGCGTTCACAGGGGACAAAAGTTACAGCAGATTAACTCCAGTAGGAGGTACTTGCTTTATTTTGGGCTGGTTGGCCATGCTAATATAAACTGATCCGAAATCTTGTATATTATCAAAGGTATACGTTTTTATTCGTAAAATTACCAATATTGATGTTAAATGTAAAATGTTGTATGGAAAATGAATTTTATTTTGTAAAAAGTTGATTAAATAATTTGATCACAGCAATGCTTTAATAGCTCCTCTATTTATTTTTATTATTGACAAAAATCATTATTTTTATAAGTATAAAAATCAATATTTTTATAAGAAATATAAAAATATGTTTTGCTAAGACACGAATTTGTATTAAAAAAATGTATGAATGTGAAAAAAAAATTAAAGATAGAATAATTACTTCTTTTTCTCTTAGTTATACAATATTTTAATCACTATTTTTCAAACGAATCCGATGTACTTAAAAACAAAAGTAATAAACTTTAGAATTGTAATGAAAAAAAATTATTCAATATATCCAAATCATATGATTTCTTGACATAATCCATCCGACTCTAATAAATGTTTAAAACTTTAACTGAAGAAAGGAGCAGGTTGTGTGGAATGTTAAAATTATAAAAATTGTTTTGAATATTTACGAAAAATTTTGTATTGTATTTCTTACATTTTTTAATTCCATTTTTTGATGAAAAGAATAAAATGTCATAAAAACCCAATTTTTGCTAAATAAAATGAAAAAGATAAAAGAATTCATATAAATACAGTTTGTGTTAAATAAGAAAATTTTGTGTGTGAATCACCACTTAGAACCAATACGCACTTAATGATGGATCTTAAGACTTATTTTTTTACTGTAACTAAGTTAACTTTTTTCGCACAACGATCGCGCGTATCACTTGTCTCTTTCGTTTGCACGATTCCAATTCTTTTGACATAACTGTGTACTTTTTTTTCGTAACGATTCTCTTAATCAAAATGTAATAAAAATAATTAATGGCTTTACAAAGTGTTGTTCACTCCGTTATTCACCATCAGACCATAATGTAAGGTGTAAACTGCAATGTTGCTCTTTATTACAATGGATTCAAAATTTTTTACATGAAATGATATTTGAAACTCCTTTGAATGTTATGGACGTAAATACTAGTTATACATTGAAACAAAAATCAAAAATCAATATTAAATTATGACAATATTAAAAATGAAACAAAAAAACATTTACAATAAAATGTCTCGATAAAGCTCAATACGAAACTTGTGGTCTGGTGATGCTGGCTGCACCCTTAATACACAACTAAATAATAAAAACTATCCGTCTACAAGAGGTATCAAATAATCATGAGACGACACGCAGAATGATAAACATTGTGATGAACAATGCACTTCGTGCGCTCAAGTATGTATACAAATTCGTATATCCTTTGCTCGCTTGACCAAAGCAGCACCGGCTTTATACGCGAGAGATCTGTTACTAAAAAGAAAATGAAAAGGATGAAGAAAAAAAATTAAAGAAAACAACGAACAAGAGACACGATATCTTTCACTGTCAATATACTTAATGTTACATACGTTTAGGCTTGGGTTTTCACCAAAGCCCTTTTTATTTATCGAAATTATGTACTAACTCGATGTAGCACACGCCTTGTGATTCATTCTTTGTTTCATTATAATATATTTGCTTCTCACCACGAAAAACGCGAGCTCGTTCTTACACCAACAACGATCGGCTCGACGAGAGCAGCAGGGCTGGGAGAGATGGGTGAAATCTTTGTCATACACGGAGACACGCGAGTTGCATCGATGATATATATATTTATATAAAATTTTTTTTTTTATGTTACACCTAGGCAGAACGTCTTTTCAATTGTAGTATTGGTTCATTATTAGAATGGTATCTTTTTATTATACTTTATTTTTTAAATCAAACTTTTCGTTCGCTATTATATAAAGTATTTATATAGACGTGTGTATATCAAACTATATCGAGATAATTAAACTTTATATGTACAACGCTTATATCATTTTCTTTCTTTTTTATTTCTTTATTTTTTTACTCGCAGCAGATTCTACTTCTTTTTTACTCCTGCTTAAGGAAATAAGTCAGATCAGTAATTTTCAATTTTTTTAGCTTGCATTCTGGCATTAAAACATTATTCTCACTTCATTTATTTTTAATTAAAAATTATTGTTTATCACAACTCCAAATTGTTAAGGCGTACAAAAAAAATGAATGCTGAATTGGCATGGAAAATATTATGAAATGTTTAAATAAGTATTAAAAAAAAAAAAAAACAAGAATTTTTCAGCTACTCGTATGAATATTAGTATTTTCAGGTATGCGAGTTGTTTCGACAAATTTATATTGCTTGTTGCGATTTTGTGACATCAAACCGAGCTGGGAGTAAGAAAAAAAGAAAAACTGTTGCTTCTTGCTCGTCCATCTCTAGGACAGGTGGAACGAGTGTTGGCCTTCTTGAGCAGCTATTCTAAGCTTTTCTCGCATTATTTCCAAAGTTGAATAATCAGGCAGTTTTAAGTAGTTGACACATGTCATAACGGATGGTAAGAATTCGTCCGATTTCGAGGACACGTCGAATGTTTTCCGTACTATTGTAAGAGGTGGCGTTAAACTCTTAAAACCTGAAAAAATGTCAATGGTATCAGTAATCGTTCAAGATATTGAATAATTGCGATTTTGGTAAAAATAGGAGTTTATAACATGAAACGTACCACCAACAGGTAACCTTGGAGAGCCAGTGACAAACTGGATAAACTGTCTTTGCTCTTCACTGTTATACTCAGACATGACGTGGTACAAGAAACGTATAGCTCGTGAGTCTGGCGTGTAACCGTGGTCGGTTCGACAGCAATCGGATAACGTCTTAATGTCCCACTTTCCTCCCGTTTGTGAGTGACCACAGAACACGGCTTCTAATTCTTCAGGGAAGAATAGACGTAATTGGGCGAGTGGGAAAACAGACTCAAAACCTTCTCGGAAAGATTCCATTTGCCGGAAGACTCCTTCGTAGAGATACCAATGAACCACCAGCTAAGACAATGAATTTCGCAACATGAAAAAAGTGTTTCGATTGTTTTTTTTTTTTTTTCTATTCATTTTTATGCAAAAAATTTATTTGTCGTACCTTTACGTATTGATCGACATTGTGAATTGTAACGTTGATATCGCTACCGCCTTTTCTTAACTCAATATTGTCGTAGCCGGGTAGTTGGAAAACAAATCCTAAGTCGGCTATATGACAGCCATCTAAATCTAGCGCCTCTATAAGCAGAGATTTTTCGTTGTGTCTTAAATTCTGATCGCGCTCTATAATCTCTTTCCGTCTCACTGTGTCTTGTAATTTACAAAGCGTACGATACACATCTTGATCAACATAAGCGAGATCCGCCAAAGTAAGTGCATATTCTTCACCCAATAGCCAACGATAGAAGGTTAAACTGAATGGGAGATCCAACTGTCGAATCGAAATTATTATTAAAAGTGGCTGAAAATAATCAAAACGTTGCATATGCAATTATTTACTTGAAAAATCAACTCACCATCCTCGAATCGTAGATCGCTTTAGCCATGAATTTTCCCAAAAACTTGAATTTAGTCTTTAGTTTAGTGAGATGTGAAGCTTTCGTGTTCCATGGGATTGGTGCAGGAAATAGTCCTTGTACCGTATTTACATATCCTTGTTCCGTAGGACTCAAACTACCGTGCCATAATTCCAAGTCAGCGCGCTGCAGTTCTTGAGATACCAAGGCGTAAAACTCTAGGGTAGGTCCAAGACCAGTTCCAACCTGAAAATACAATTATTTATGATTAAAACCCAAAAAATAATCTTTAATTACTAGAATATTGCAGCATTGTTTTACCTCATTGTTATATTGCACTTCCAACAGAGCTTTAGACGACGCCAACTCTTGGATAACTTGTTCAGCTTGCTTAAGAATATCACTTCTCGAAATTGTTCGTTTTTTCTTATCCAGTCTCGGTGTCACGCGCTCTTGGCTATCAGAGCCACTTAATTCTGGTGCTGAATCGAGAAGACGCTGTAGAGCTCGATCACGATCAAAAGACGTCGCGTAGAATAGTAGTTGTCTTGTCTCGAATGGGAATAAAAATGGACTGCAAAGACAAGAATAAAATATGTATTTTTACTCAAATTTATTCAATCAACCAAAAATAGTTGAATAATAAACATTTCTCAAACTTACCACACTGAAGCAATTTGTTGCAACCATGATGGAAGATTGCCTGTCATAATAACAAGCGGATCTTGCAGTTGTCTGCTGGCTTTAGCCGCGATTTTACTGTTAATAAAATCATGTGGCGTAAGTAGGCTAAAGCTCTTGGTATGCGGGAATAGAACGCTCCAGGAGCGATTCATGGCGTACAAGAGACGCGACAGGCATAAACCGTCAAGGGATGCATCACTGATGCTGACCACAGGCGACAAGCTTGGGAACAAATATGGCGAAAGTGGACAACGCTGCTGGGGTATCGTCCCTTCCAGCCACAAACAGTCCTCCTTCCTCTTTGAGCTTATTTTTGTACTCTTTCCCTTTCCCTTACGACTGCTAGATTGCGAGCTTGAACCAGGCTTTGAAGATGCAGATAATTCTTCTTCTGGTACTGGCCTAAGATCACGCGAGAAATTTAAATTTTACTGAAATGATTATTGTTCACGAAACCAGAATCAATTGTACAATAGATATTTTGTCAACTTAATGATTACCTGTAGTATATAGTGTGTGTTTGGACCCAAACTGCATCATGACCAAGAGGTGGTTCACTGTCTGCATCGGTCTCTGAGTGATCGATTCCGGGACAACTGAACTGCCTTACGGCTTGATAAACAGTCATATTGAATGGTAAAATCTCTTCTCCAATTATGAATTGTAACTTGTGCTTCACCGAACCATGATTTGTTTCAACAGCCTAATTAAACATAATAAAAAGTTAAAGAAATTAACACAGCGTAGCTGATAACGTTTTCCGGCTCAGGTCCATAAAACACGGGGGCAAAAAATGAAGTTATCTCAAGCTTTTGAGTACTAAAAGAATAGTTGTTTGGAAAATTTTAAAAGTCTTTAAAGTGGTCTAAACTTCCCAGTTATCATACTAAGTCGCCAAATACTTTAGCTACTACGTGCTATAATCTAAAAATGTCCATATTTTACAAATAAGCTTTGAAATCTACAAATGCATATATTTTAGTCATAATTTTTCAAGTTAAAATATTCTACGACTTTAGACAACGGCTAAGAAATAAGACTACTTGAAGGTTACAATTAAATTTTTTTAATTATCTAACAATTAATATTCCAATACCATCGAATTTAAAGCAATGAAATCTTTTACATCAAATGTTAATATTGCTTGAAAAGTATTAAAAAGCAAATTTACGTCTGAATCGTGTACTGAATAATTTCTTTGAGGATCCTGTCTAATGACAAAATCTCCTGAAGAATCTTTCAAACAAGCACTTACGAAGGTTTCAGTTACATTATCTTCACTGTTGTCATCATCGCTGACCATTGAATCAGCATCGCGAATCCGACCGTATCCCCGAACCATCAAGTAGCGCTCTATAGTTTGAACCAGAGCTAATGGATCCACCTTTACAGTTCCACCTTTCCACTGTTTAAGATTATTGCAGTCAGGGTGACGTTGAAGATTACACTGAAACCGATATATTTTTTTTTAAAAAGTTTTTTACACGAATACACGTGTTATGAAGTAAAAAAGTAAAGTACCTTAAGTTGGTGTGTATTGAAAAATTTCAAAGCACTAGTCCCACCTCTACCAGCTCCAGATCCTGCGGGGAGATCATGCACCTTGACTGGGAACTGTTCTAATTGAGACACACAACTACTTAATTTAGACACAAGAGCACCAAACGCTCCCGGACTGTAGTTTGATGGATCTCTTTGTAACTAAAAAGGAGAAAAAAAACCGTATAAACTCAATTAGAATTAAATGGAATATATTTGAGTTAAAAACTATTTACTGTAGATTCGGCAAACAATTTCCAAAACATCCTAAGGCGATCGTATCTATTTCCAGATCCCTCTGACGTAGTGAGGAAGTTGAGCAAAGCTTTGATCAGACCACTGTGATTCATTTCAAACGGCGAAATATCACTTTCCAGAACAACATCACGAAGTTCAGTAAGAGCTGAGTACACTTCTTCCATATCCTGGTAAAGAGTATTTTACATTGAAATTAAACGTAAAAAATAATACACAAACGATTATTCTTGTAAATTTGATACTTACATTGGACTGTAGACGTTGAATAGCTGCGGTAAGTCTTGACAGCACGGTAAGGGCGGGGTGCGTACATGGTGAGTCGAGCTGATACCTGATTAAGAACTGCTGGGCTTCTTCACGTACCCAAGCCTTGGCTTTCTCACGGTTATTGCCGGTTAGGCTCTGATTGCTAGAAGGCTTGGACAGACTGGATGAAGAGCTCGAGTCGCGTTTATCACTCGTATTGCTTGGTGATGAGGATTTTTTTCCCCAACGTGCGGGGTTCAGGTTGCCCAAGAAGCGGCTACTATTTTTCGATGCGAATACAGCAAATTGTGACTGTTCCGCTGGCTGTTGCTGTTGTGGTTGTTGAGGCTGCTGCTGTTGTGGCAATGGCTGCTGAGGTGTAGTACTCGCCAATCTCTGGAACTTGCCCTTTTTGTTCTGTCGTTTTCTTTTTAGTACATCGCCAATCCTTCTGTAAGTTTTATCATTTCTAATGTTTAAGTAATAATACGAACGCAACAATGTTACGATTATTCAAAGAAAATTTAACAATTTAAAAACAGTATAAAAATGTTTGAAGCTACTTACAGGTGAGCATTAGGTGGTGTGGCGGATGCGTCCTCTATATTGACGTTCATGTCGGTTCGACTGCGAGTTTCCATTGTGGCAGCGACATTTGGCTTCATTTGGCTTGTGGCAACAGCACCGAACATTATATTACCATTTGTTGTGGGTGAAGCAATGGGGGATGTAGCACTGCTGGACGACAACGTCGCGATGGAAGATAGAGGAGTGTTTGATGGTCCTGGTTGGGGACTTGATAATGCACCTACAGACAAAATTCGAGTTACGTTCTATCAAATATTTCCTTGTGGTATAAATATAATTACAAACTCACCAGAAGGACACTTGGGTGGCGATACTCCAAGAGGAATATCTGGATCAGCTAGTTGACGTACTTGATGTAAAACTCCCTCACGATGAAAATGAACTCGGAATACTTGAGGTAACCTAGTCATTAGAATGTTGGCCATCTGCAGAGCTCCAATGACTATTCTCAAATCTTGTGAAGCCAGCATACCCGCAATGTGAGACGAAACTACTTGATTTTTCAACATTTCCTGTAAAACAGACTTTTGTTATTTGAATTTCCAATCTCAATACTATGGGAAAAAAAATTAATACCTCAATAAAAATACTCACTTTTAGAAGATCACTCGAAGAGTAATACAGCATTCTCAGTAACGCTCGTAAACATTTACATTTAACTGCTGGCCCGGCCGAACTGCTGTAGACTTCATATAACACCGAAAACAATGTTCGTATAAAGCTCACAACCCACTCGTTAATTTTTATCATCTGAGGTACAACGCACGGGCCACTAAAAAAAGAACGCACGTGAGTGTGAAAACGCATCTCGTAAAAATCACACAGACGAGTACTTACTTTGATGACGACTGTGCATTATCACCTTCAGTGGGCTGAGTATTTACTCTACGGAATATACTTCTCGCGACTCCTAAATCTTCATTGATTTGTTTCATCACAGTTAAATCTATGGTGTAAGTTCGTCCAAGAGTGGATAGACAAATTTCATCTTCTCCATTTTGAAATGCCATCTAAGGAATGAAAAAAATCAGTTCACTCATCTTGGTTACACTGTAAAAAAGACAAGGAAGATTTATTAGTTGAAAATTAAAGTACCTCAATTATTCTCGAGTCAATGGCGCTAAATGGATGACAGCACTGTCTTTCATCGCGCCACTCCCATTGCACTGTTTCTTGTTGACTGCTCGATCTATCGAGTAAACTATCTACATTGAAGATGCCGTCTGTCGGCAGTGGCGGCATCAGCTCCTCGATCAGACAAGTTATTTCGAAGAGCTCCTGCGGCGAACGCGGTACGAGTTCGACATCCTCTATTTTTACGTCCAGCGAGCCGGTCAGCAGATAACTCAAGGTAAATGCTATGTTCTGCTGGAGCAGCAGTATCGCAAGGTCAGAGCAGCGATTCGATATCACAGACAGCATTCTCAGTACAGTGATGAAGTTGCCAACGCTATTCACCGGTGGCGTGATCATCAGCAGCTGTTGAAGATTTTGCAAGAGCTCGGTATTCACTATTTTGTATAGCATCACCTCGTCTTGCTGGAAACTGTCAATCAGCCGGCTGAACGCTTGGCACACACACTCGACGCTCTTCTTGTCCTGGTTAGTCAATCTGCTGGTGAGAAGTTGCAGACTCTCCGTGACGAGATGGAAATCATCAGGATGCAGGTTCTGACAGCAATTTGCTGTGATCGTTAGGGCTGCGCGCTGTGCGGTAATGTTAAAGAAATCAACGAACTTTAAACACGCCGACACACCGCCCTGCACACACAAGAACAATAAAATAGGATTTATTAGCCAGCTTAATGAAAGCATCTCGTGAATGAATCAACAAAAGCCTAAGTTACTTACCGCATGGAGAATAGTTTTGCTGTGTCTACGCGAGAGCATGGCGAGTGCCGTGAGACATTGCTCGGCAACGTCCATGCACTCGATCGACTCGAGCTTTTGTAAAAAGACGGGTACTGCATCGACGACGACGGTCGAAGAGCGCGGCAACGCCTCCATCATGTAGGTCAGTGCTCGGCAAGCATGCGTCATTATCACGAAATTGTGCTCAATACTCAAAAGATTGATGAGCGCAGCAACGACCTGCTTTACCGGGAAACCCGTGAGCGTATCCTCGTTGCCCATCACAAGTATCTCACCCATGCTAATGACAGCTTGGAGCTGTTCGCCTTCATCATCGGCTTGCAGGCCCGTCAAAAGCTGCTGAGCTTTCGCAGCTGAAACTGTAGTGTACAATGCGGCTAAATGTGCTAAATTTTGGGACAAAGCGAAAAAAAAACCAGTTGCCAATGGTTATTCGTGTGCGTGTATAAAAAATTTCGGTGACTATTTTGCGTGATTATTATTAAATATTAAAAAAACACTTGAGAAAAGTAAAAGGTATGAAAAACTTTATTTGATGCCTTTTGACACGAAATAAAGAACGCCTAGGGACAACGAGATCATGTTGGTTTGTGCGTTTTTGTGTGTTGTATCGGCTAAAGAGTAAAGTTTTTGTATATGAGAAAGTTTTTTTTTTTTTTTTTACTCAAAGCCAATCGAAGGATTGGTTCCCTGGCTTACCCGAGCTAGCTCCCATACTCCCCATACTCCGGTTGAGCAGATGCTGCATTTTGGGCCCGAGTGCACCAAACACGTGTGGAGGCAAACCTCTGGCTTCCAGCAGTGCCTGTAGTTGGCCAACCTCGCCGTCATCGCTCTCACTGTCAGCGGCTGCGGCAGCGGCTGCAGCGGCGGCCGCGGCAGCAGCAGCAGCTGCCGCGGCAGCACCACCGCTTGCCAGTCCAGAGGGACCTCCACTAGCTGCACCAGCGCTCACAGTACCCGTGCCGCTGCCTTGAGAATTAGAATCGTCATCCGGCGCAGGCGGTGCTGGCAGTGGCGTCATAGACGATGCACCTCCTGCTAAGGAGGACGATGAGGAAATCGATGAGGAACTTGGTGGTACTCCACTTCCGGCTCCACCCATGTTGTTGCTACCAATGGCGCCAGTATTGCTCGACAACGGGTCGCTACTTGACATACCGTGGCTGCCACCGCTGGAACCGAGCCCGGCACTGATCGCTCCGCTTCCGGCACTGCTCTCGAGCGTTGACTTCCGAGCCCGTGATGAGGAACGGTGTCTGTAATTCACAGATGTACATGATGATTGGTTACTGTATATTGAGCTTATGTTAAGGTGGTTTTTCTGATATGACAAAATTCATATCGCTTAAATAATTAAAAGTTGCAATGTAAAACAAAGACCGTTCATATCGATATAAAGGTAGTAATGGAAGTTACAATAGAAATACAAAACTTGTTTTCATTGACAATAAACTATCGATTGCGTATGTAGTTTGGTTTGTTAACGACCTTTAACGCTAAAAATAAATGGTATGTGATCTTTGATCTATAAGAGTATAGAAAAAATAAGCCAGTAAGGCACTTTTGATTTTTAAGATGCAGTATTTTTGCAAAAGAGATAAAATACCATACTTATTTCTTAAATAATAAAACATTGAAAATCTTTGGTAAATTCAGTATATTGTTTATTAAATTTCCTTTGCGCATCAATGTCGTTAATACATTGGCATTATTGTTCTTTGACAAGTATAAATTTCCCCTCTTTACATAAGACGATATTATTGTTTGATTATGGGATTGTGGCATTCAAAATCAAAACAATGAATTAATTATAGCATCTAATTTATTCAGCCTATCCATGATTAATACAATTTAGAGTGACCATAGAAATTGTAATACAAATTCGTTGGGGAAAATACTCAATTAGTATTGATTTATGTGCCAAGAAAACAAAGATTAGTACCAAGAATAAAAAATAAAATAAAATTGTATTTAAACGTACGTTGATGGCTATTATAATTCAAAACGTCTGAAAATAATTGGAAATCTCGGAAATTTCATCGACACGAACGTAACGAACCGTTTGTCCAAAGTTAAAGCAGGTCGCAGCAGCAACATTGAAAGTGCCAACATTTATATAGGTACTGTATAAGTGTCTATAGCGAAGCACATGCGCGCAAGTGTTGCCAATTTGGTTCATCAAACACGCACGAGGCAACTAACTTTGAACTACCAATGTCATAAAAATACTATACAAAATATTTTTTGAAACTCTTTTTTATCGAAGCTGATTTTTGCAATTTACAAAACACGAGTGAAAACCTTCATGATTTTTAAAAATAAACGCGTTTGAATGCATTTGAGACATCAGCAGCGGTGATCGTTATTCAATCGAGCGATTCACGTGTCAGGCAGATTAATTATAATTAGAATTCAAAAGTTCAAAGCAAATCGCAAGCGCTACCTTGAAATTATATAATTGTAGTCTTTTTTTTTTTTCCTCTCCGTATATATTAAAATTGGAAAAAAATAAAGTTATGAACGAAATCGAACACAGTACTCACCTAAAAGCAGAGCTGGACGAGCTGTCCTTCTTGTGGTACTTGCCCTGGGATTTTCCGGATGCCTGGCCGAGCTCCTTGACGTGATCGTTACCAAGCTTGACCCGTGAGCGCAGCAGATGTTTGTGCAGGGGCGGCTGTTGATACGTACTGCTGAGCACCGCGGCTGCAGCGGCCAAGTTGGCTGCTAGCGTCGCGTTGCTACTGAACGTCTGATGGTGATGATGATGCTGCTGCTGCGATACAACTGCCGCTGAGGACGACGTGGAGGAGGAAACCGACGACGATGTGGCAGCAGTGGCCGCGACGACGGCTACGCTGCTGTTGCCAATACTATTACTACTACTCGGGACGGCGTGATGGTGGTGATGATGGTGGTGGTGGTGCTGTGGCTGCGACTGTTGGTGGTGTTGTTGTTGTTGTTGTTGCTGTTGTTGTTGTTGTTGTTGTTGTTGTTGCTGCTGCTGGTGGTGATGATGGCTGGGGTAGCCGCTGCCAGAATTGGCTGCAGCTAGCCCGGCAGCCTCGTGCACCGCCGCAGCCGCGTGCAAGGAGGCCCCGCCGCCACCACCGCTCTCCGCCGAGGAGTTGCTGGCCGTGTTACCCACTCTGATGCTGGCCTTGGCACCCAGCGTCTGATGATAACCACCGCTGCCTCCGCCTCCGTTGCCACTGCCACCGACAATGACGACGCTGTTGTTGCTGCTACTGCTGGCACTGTTGCTGCCGAGCGTGGACGAGCTCGAGCTTCCGTTGACGTTACAACTGCTGCCACCCTGAACGCCCTTTGAGCCTGCGAATATAGTGAACGTCCAAACAAGTGATTATTATTGTTGTTTGTCTATTAATTAATTTTGTCTATAGCTCATCTTAATTTTTAGATGAAAAGAAGGCTTATCGTTTTATAGTTGATTCTAGCCAAGTGCTGAGGGGGGAAAAAGTGTACTTTTCTTGTGAATGGTGCAAAAGGAAAGACAGTCGAGAGATGCAGCTATACAGACAGCGCGTTCTAAACTAATACATAGACGTTGGGCAATGTGATGGTTCAGTTCGGATCAACAATTAAAAAATGATTTGGGTGAAAGGGTCAATGCGCGCTAAAATATTTTATCTCGGAATTTCAAATTTGAATGCTCCAACGATAAAGCTCCCTTAAATGTAAGGACGGTTAATTGACATGGGAAAAACTCACTATGTCAATAAAATGTACTGATTAACAATTAATAGCTTAATCATTTTTTGCTGTGAATCAATTGGAGTTTCGCAAGACTTTAAAAATTCGATGGTCTGCAAATTTTTCAACACATTAATGTAATTAAGATAAAATTTTTAGAGCATACAATGAATGTATTACTCTGACTGTTGCAATTTACAAATCGAATATTCCTTTTATGGGAGTAAATAGTTTTTATATACATTAGGCACTGAGTACTTTATTAAATTAAAACTGTTACGTGAAATGATAATTATTAGTGCCAAAGACAGAATAACTTTTAAAAATATTAATGTTCTGGGAGTTTTAAAGCTTTGTCTTAAACTAAAAACAACATAGTACAGTGTACAACATATAAATAAATTGAAACAACTTATTCTTAATAATGACAATTCACTGTAATGAAAAAAATTCAATGGTTTTAAAATAAAAATACAACACTTGGTTACAGAAAACAAAAACATTTTAAGGTAAGGCAAACAATCTTCCTCCTTATACTAAATTTGTAAATAATCAATAAATAAACTTGTGGATCATGTACTATTTTTCCCACGTTTTTATACACTCACTTTTTAATGCAAATACTTAAAATTAAACAGATCTGAAAAAAACAAATAAAAAAATTATCAACCACGCCAGGCAAAACTGTAACAGTTCAATGTTAACGATGCTAATATTATATGGTAAATTATTTGTGACCAAAAGAAGTAAATCATAATTACAAAAGTTTTCAATCATGCAAAAATTTACACACATGTATGTGTGTTAGATGCTAACGACATATGCAAAATATTTTGAGTCGGGTTAGTCAGTGTTGCATTTTACAATCACTTTTAACGAATTCGTTGTTTACAACTTATTTTATACATGTAACTTAACGTTTTTTTTTTTTTTTTTTTTTTTTTAAATACATTCAACTGATGTCGATTGTTGCCATTCGCAATTACGGATAAAAGAGAAATTAGACTGCTTATCCAAAGACTTTAGATTAAAGTTTTTTAATTCTTAATTCCGATACTGTCATATAAATTACTAAAAAAATTAATTAATAAACTAAAAATAATGAGCATTGCTTGCTACGTAAATATGCCAATCCACAAAGTTTTGGGTAAAAATGTATACAATTTGTTTCTAATTCAATATGAAATACAGTCACAAAAACCAAACTGACGAATTGATATACTTGCGTTAAACCCTTACGACGTAAGAACAATTTTATTCGCATGCATTATGCAACAATACGTAAATCAAACTCTATGTTTAGCAATTCTGATGCCTTCATTTTAAAAAATATACATATTCTACGATATTGTGCAACATTTGGATGTACAAGGGTAAAAAGAAGTACGCCAAGAAAGATTTTTTTTCGTTAATTTACAACATACACGACAATCTTACACTTCAAATTTCTTGTTTCTGATTTTAATTTTCTACTTTGATAAAAAACGCAAAAGGATATACAAAAGAATCAAGAGAGCAAGATAAATGCGATTATGAGAATAGTAACGTTTGTTAGCACCGGCTTACCTTCCTGATGATAGGTTTGCGCTGATATCGGAAAAAGCGCTTTGACAGCGGACACGAATCCTTCCAGACATTCGCTCATCTTTGTGCCTAATGTCATACATTACGATTTGACTCTTTGGCGTTTATTCTCAGAAACAACAACATTAACATATAATCCTACCCACTAATATTTTACAAGCTACATACTTCTGTTTAAGTTTATTTCTATTTTCTATACTCTCTGTTCTTTCTAAAAGCGTTTAAACCCTTGCCAATTAATATAATTTCATTGCATTTGTTTAATTTATGCAGTACTACTACAACTTTTTAGTTATCCGAACTTAATAGAAGCCTTATCTTTGAACTCAAGTTTGTAAACATTACCGTGAAGCATTTCAATAACAAATAGTGTGTCTTTCAAAATAAATACTCTTGTTTTGACTATAATGTAGTTAGTAGTCCAAAATGATAAATAAAATCTCTCTTTGTGATAAAACTGACAATCAGTCGTCTTTTGTTTCATTGGATACTATGAGTATTGAAAAAATAAACTATTTGTGTATATGTATCTTAAGATGATTGACAGTTTGTATGATTTTAATGTTCAAACGAGTATTTTGTTAGTAACAAGCGTTAGGTAAAAGTTTTATTTTACAATGCATACAGAAGCTTGATACCAATTTCTTTTGCACCTTGAAATTTTAATTTTTAATAGGAATCATGCTGTTATAAAAAATGCAAGATGTTTGATAAAGTTTTACGAGGGATCCCATCACCATATTTATCATAAACTTACACCGTAGTTGCAATATCTTATAACTTATACGACAAATATAAGCAGTACTTCTTAAAATGTCATAATATAAGTACTTTTTGCATAAGTTCAACACATTATGAGAAAAGTTTGGTTATGCCTTTTTACATAAATGTTAAAAGACAAAAAATGCTTATGTTACCTTTGAAGCATAATAATACTTTTAATCATAAGTTCTTTGATACCCTGAGTATACCACATACAAGTAGTATGGTTCAATCAGATTTAGATAGTTATAACAGTATTGCAACAACGGTAAACATCACTTATTTCAGAAAAAATATAGGAAAATGTCAACAAACCTCTATTACTTCTGGATGATAAAGGATGACCCGTGACCACAGTATTTGAATTAGTATTATACAGCAAGTGATGGGCGGGCTTTTTGCTACTACTGCTCCTGTGATTGCTAACTTGCAACGAGATTGACGAAGACGAATCACAGGCACTATTCAGTTCGGGTACTTGATTGTTGATAAGATAGTTATTCTGTCGATTTTGAGGAGTGTGGGATCGAGTGCGTGAGGCCACACAATCAATCGGCGCCAAATTTAATTCGGACGAGTGATTATTGTTTTTCGAGCTGCGTGCTCTTGTGCTGTTACCAGTAGAGCTGTAATTAGTCTGGTGCGTTCTTTGCTGCTGCTGCTGTCTCCAATCTGTATCTGTTGGAAAGATAAGAGATTTCAATGTCATTGTACAGTTGTAATTTGAAATTTTATTTTTAGTTGTACGACTACTGGCAAGTGGCAATCAATTCTTGTAATGAAAAAAAAAAGAAAAGATATTGACACCAAGTAAGACCAGTTTTAAATTAAGCAGAACATGAGCTTTTAGTGTTATTTTATTACTTGAGCAAGTTTCTAATGACAGGAATTTCTTGACGCAAGTTGTCCAAGTAAATAAGATCATTTTGAAAATATAATTACCGAACAAGCATTCTAGACCAGCTCCATTGTTTCTACGCTCATTCCTCAATCTTCCTTCTCCTTTAGTATTTTCAACAGGACGCTGATTTTTATTATTTAGTGCCTGCTGGGGGTGCGGGTCACCAGCAACTTGTCTGCGTTTTTTCTCTTCAAGAGTGACTTGTACAGTGTTGCTGTTGTGACGTTTTCTGAACCCGCTACTTCCACCACTGCTCGAGCTTTTCCCCTTAGACTTAGAGGTGTCTGCTGAAGCCTTCGCTACAGACCCCCCGGACGACAAATGATCTTGTTGATCTGCCATAGATTAAACGACTCATGCCACTATTCTATCTGCAACATAAAAAAGTGACGTATGTTATTAAAATAATTTTTTTTTTGTTTTCTTTCAACTACGGTATAGTATAGGATATTTTATTTTTATCCCACAAATATTGTTTGGCTAACATTGTACCCCTGGCATACCATGGAAATATTAATAATGTATTAAAAATTCTCTTATCAAAATTATCAATTTTGGATGACACTAAAGGAGTTTCCAATTAGAAATACCAATGTGACGCTTTGAAAAAGTACTATTTTTTATATTTAGGCTATTAAAATGAAATTAACCTCAAAATTTTTTTTGGTTGTAAAAAAGGAACAAAAAAAAAAAAAAAAAAAAAAACGAAATATTGGTAAGTTTTCCACTAACGGTGAATTCATAAGTCGATAATGATATGCGAAAAAAAAGAAAACAACAATAATACACACACTCTGCGTGAAATGGTGCTCTTGTAATTACGAAATTTCGTAAACAAATGTTACGTTCAAGTATACACTTATAGTTTTCTCATCAATTATATCATAAAATAATGAAAGTATTGTACAAGTACGTAATATAAACTAACCCTACAACAACTCACCACAAAAAAAGCAAACGATCAGTCGTCGGCGGAAGTATAATATTAATCCTTCAAGTATTACTTGAGTAAAAAAGAATAATCGTGCAACCGAGTCTTGTTCTTATTTCAATCGCAGCAGCGATTGGGTAAATTAATATTCCAAACTGGAACGTTCTTGCAAATTTTTGTTATACGTGCTAAATAACACAAACATTTAAGTGGGTAGATAAGTATATATGAGATGAGGTCACGAGGTGTGTTCACTGTTCACAAACAAATGATCAATACTATAGTATATATGTAAAATTGCGCGAAAGAAAAAACAACGTGACAAGCAAGAGTCGCAACTTATAACTCACAACCTCTGCCGCGTTAGCTCTTGTACTTACTTAAGTAGCTTTGCTTTTATACGACTGCACACACTGCAGTGAGTCAGGCAGTGGATGTGCGCACAAATGAATGCGACTCTCATACATGCACATGGACGGTGTAAGTATAGATCCATACTGTATTTGATAAAAAAGTAGGTGTGAAAATGATATGAATTACTGCATAAGCATTTTAAGTAAATGCAGTATCAAAGTAGGTAGGTAAGAAAATATAACAAAAGTACTACTTATGTAAGCAGAGCAGTGTTACTTCAACTTGTATGTTGAAAAATAATTTTGTACTGAAGTGGGACCAACGTCAAGAAAATTATCATTACATGGGTACTGAGATATTTTATGAAATTTCCATACATGTTGTTTTACGTATGACGAATAAAATATGCAAGAAAAATTCTATTGTTATGGGGTCCAAGTGAAGGATTACTTGGACAAGGGTTAAAGTGACGTGGATTGTTGGGCTTCTGAGAATTTCGTAACACTTAAAATTTGGTTTGGATGAGCCTGGAATCGAAAAGTTTTTCGAGCTCGCGTCTTGTAAGACAAAAAATTTGAGTTTTAGATGAAGATCTACGGTGTTGCATTTGAGGTGAGAAAAATAAAAAAAAATGAATGAAATATCTCCTGGAAAATATCGAAGAAAACGATTGTTAATTTGAAAATTGTTTTTCTGTGCCCATTCAAGTAAGTATATTTATTTAGCTGATAATGACATTTGCGGGGACATGTTTAACTTTCTCTTAAAAGAAATGATTTATTTTTCATTACGAATAGTACAACTTACGCGTCCGAAAGATGCAACAATTTTTCTCGCCGAGGGAAAAAAAAGTACAAATTAAGGGGCGCAAACTCTTTGTGCCAGTGGTAAGAAAACTGCTTCAATTACCATTACTTCTACTATCGTTTAATATTGCGAATAATAAAATTTTTTTACCGAGAAATTTTCATTGCTAGTAAGTCGTGTTCCTACAAAATGACAATACAAAACAAGCGTGCATATTTTTGCTTTTTTTTAAATATTTGGCATTATAATTAAATGCTGATTAACCAAACGAGCAAGTATTCGAAAAGTTGAATTGAAATAGCACTGTAATGTAACTGGGCGATTTTTATTCATAAAAGATTATGTTTTAATTAAAAACTCATCGAAATTAGCGTTTATTACGTAATTACTTAATTAATATCCTACCAATGGAAAAATAATGTTTGCCACGTAAGCGCCACTCAACCAAAGTTACAGAACAGATATGTAGCAAAATCAATCGTAGGATGTAAATTATATTCATCGATTAATCTACCCTTGACTTTATAATTATTACTTATCTAAAACATTGGTATGTACTGAAATCACCAAAATGTTATCATAGTTTGTGACAAAGTATGATTATTATAACTAAATTATGTACTGTAGTAGACAAAACAATTGATTAATTGAGAAAAACTTCTTGCACAGTTTGTATTGTTAAAGTATGGGTAAACAGGTCGTTGCGTATTACGGTTGATCTAGTTGTCGTGAAACTCAAATGAAGAGTCTTTATTTTTGGATTCAGTTATGTCTAGTCCATCGGTATTCAGTCAAAAAGTTGCATTAAATATTTTGCCTTTAAATGTCAGAGTACAACACTCGCAATAACTGATGCAAATACAACCCTTATGACAGTACTGTGCGGTTTACAACAATACATACAAGACCACAATAATACTAGCATCGGCAACAAAACTTATCACTATAGTACATGTAACGGATTAAATAATGTTAAGAATCGATACTAGAAATTTTTCAGCCAAATATTTATTTAAAATAAAAGTGACTATACTATTTAATGATCTCATTTCTTTAAATAAATACTTTAAACGTAATCCTGCTGAAAATCTTCAATTCAAGTGTACTTATTTTATTTTTATACTTTATATTGAGAGTGTACTTATTTTATTTTAATTTATTCAATCAAAAAAATTTACTTTCGGAAGAAAATTAAATACGATGATTAGAAACCAATGAATTTTCCATGATATTTGCGACGGATTCATCAGCTTTCTTAGTACTTAAGGTAGGTTCTTCAATTTGTAATGAAGACTACCAGGTGACTCGAGTCAAGTTTTTCAACTATCATCAAGTATGATTTGATTATTGTTAATTATCAACTATGCGAAACCCTCGTAACTTCCAATTTTTTTCCCCATTTCCGGAAGTACTACTGCTGGATAAAAACCCCATATCAATGATCGCTTTTCTGTGTAGTTTTGGTGCTGGCTAAGCTGTTCGTAAATCAAAGCTTCAAAATTCACCCAGCCATACATTAGGGGACGCGTATATGAGTTTTATGTTATTATTTTTAAAATTTTCTGTTGTGTGCAACAATCAATGGATGAATTAGGTATCGTACGTATAGTAGTACATGCATGCTTTGTAAATAAGGTATATGGATACGAAAATCTAACGATATCACTCAACTGCGCGACGCAGCTTATTGATATTGGCTCGACGGGTCATTGAAAATAGTGCACCTGTTATCGACTTTATTGTTAATGGATACACAAGAAAAGGAAAACTTGAGGGAAAAAAAAAGAAATGGTCGCGTTATTCACGAGTATTTTAATGTTATTGTCGCATTTTTTCATCATCTGCGTGATAAAAGTGGTAAATTCGTAAACGATAGCAAACTATACCTTTTCTTCAGAAAATCGTTAGGGAATCGCACGAAGATTGACGTCATTACGCATTACATATGTAAAACATTTTCAGTAAACTACACGATCGTATGAATTTATAGAAAAAAAAAAAAAAAAAAAAAATTGTATAAAATATTCCACCAGTATTGTTTTTTACGCGATTACAGCTCAGACCCTCGATTATAGGGTTCACGCGTACATGGCTGGATCCACATAAACACCAAGCACAACATCACACTCAATACTATAAACACTCGAGGGAAAAAAAAAAAAAAAAAAATAACCACGCAAAAGACAACGGTTTGGCTCTCTGTGCGAATTTATATACTATAGGTAAGTGTAGTGTTTGTTCGCAAAATGAATCGTGTCGATAACAAAGGTTCGGCCGTCGTCGTCGTCTTTGGTCTCTGCGCGTTGGCGGTACCTATATATATATACACATCACTTATTGCGTACACACGATGCCTCCTCTCGTTCGGTCGTACACTTGCAAGTATATACGTGTATACGTATACAGTCGAGAGAAGGAGGAGGAAGAGGAAAACCCGGAGTCTGAACGACCACCGATTTTTCCCAAGGAAATCAAGTTTCGTTAATTAGCCCGAGAGCTTGTGCCTCTCTGTTCGTACGTTGTTATTGTTGTGCTAAGGGGGAGCCGGGGAAAGGAGGGCAGGGCTTTTTAAATTTCTCCCGGCCCCGAAGATCGTGGATCGGGAGGCAAAGCGAGTCTCTGGCAAATGTAACACATCACCAGCAGCGCGTGGACCGAGTCGGCGTGTGTTTGCCTCCCTCACCATCCACGGATTGGCGTACCTAATGATATTCTTTTTCTCGATTTTTTTTTTAATTTTTTTTTTAAAGCTTCACGCGTACACGTGTATGGGCGACGCAGCCGTTTTTTTGTTTATACACGGTATTATTTACCCCCCAGAAGAAAGTCCGAGATGAAACAAACCGAGAGAGAGAGAGAGAGAGAGAGAGATGATAATAACAATACGGAGAGAAAAAGTGCTGTCTGGCGCAGCAACCAAAGAAGCAAGCCACTGCAATCAACCAACCGAGCAACCAGCCGAGCGCTCGTTCGTTCGCTGCTGTGCAAGCTATACACACATAGCCAGAGCCTGCTTAGCAATGGAGGCCGCGGGTTCTGTCTTTTTCTCTCTCTCTCGCTCATGAACACACACTCCTCCGCTCTTTCCCTTTGGCTCTCGCGTTTTCCCCCTTCTCGCTTCGTATATATATATATATATGTGCACGGGTGCACCAGCGCACAGTTAACAGCGTGTACATGGCCATCGCAGCCCATGCTCGACGTCGTCCCCTCGGTGCTGAAACATCACCAGCTTTGTCTCGCCTCTTTGTGCTCTCCGTGTCGATCCTCGCGAAGAAC